TGCTAAGATTTTCTAAACTGAAAGATATTTGGGTATCTTTGCAGGAAGGTCAGAGCAGGTGGAGAATGCTGGGTTTTTACACTGTCATGCTACTGGAAAACTGTGCTTTACTGGCAGCTTGGTACTTGTTCAGAATCAAAGAAAGGTGGTATGATCAGTTTCTACTTGGTGCGGTACCTGTGGCCTTCACTATAGGTGAGAATCCCTTTCTTTGTCAGGGATGACAAAAAATTAAAGCAATCCAGGTGATTGATAATGAATGTTGTAATAATATAAAAAGGTGCCAGTTGCTGGTGTTTTTTAAGGATATTCGTCGTTCAATCTAAGGTTTAGTGTGTCAGTTTATCAGCCAGTAATTTTGTGGTCACCACTTTGTAGACCTTTAACGATGTCATTATACACCAGCACTGCTGAGTAGGATTCAAAGAAACAATACATCACAGCCAAAGAAAATCAGACGTATTCCATTAATAAATATGTACAGTGGTATTTGGGGGAAAAGATTTTCAGTATTTGCTTCTAGTAACAAAAGGTACTTGGGTCACATCAGTTTTCAGTGCAGTCATCCATTCAATTACCACAGATGGTGCATAAAATGAATAAATAATCATTGCACTGTATTATTCCAGGTCTAATGTGTATGCTAATGTACTACAGATTGTGTCATCCCTCTGGGCCTATAGACCCATGTGCTGCTGATACTTCTGCAGATATAGAATCTACAGACTGTGATGATTATAACAAGCCATCTGGAGACCCAGCATCTGGTATCATTAGAAGGATGACACTGAAAACCACTAGACCTACATGTGCCAAGATAGAGAAAAGACAGTCAGCAAATAGTTCTTTTAGTGACTACTCACCACTTAAGGATTCTTTAGAAAATGACCAAATAGGCATTGGGCAAAGTAATCATTCTGAAAACTGCAGTGAGAGAGACAATGGGTCGGACAAAGACAGAGATGCTTCAGAAAAACACTTTATTAGAGGAACCAAACTTGGTTTTGGACTCCATGGTTGCTTTAGACCCCAAGATACTGTATTAAGTCTGGTAACAGATGAAAGCTTTCAGGGAAATGGTTCGAATTGCAGTCTGAAAGAAGACGATAAAAATCGCTTATCACAAAATTGTATGCCTGGTTTACTGCAGGAAAAGAGTTGTGGTCAACCTCCAGATGGTCCCTGTATTGGCCTGGATGGGCATGAAGGCATAAAAATGACAGAAGACAAGTCGCCTGAGGTTCAGATGTTTAGTAATCGAGTAAATAAAATTGAATCACAGTTGAAAGTTAGTTCGGAAAGTGATGGTTGTATCACATTGAGAAAAGTGGAAATTACAAATCCTGAGAGTAAATTTGCCCATGATAAAAACACGAGTACACTTCCACACCAAATGGCTGAAAAGTGCACAGTAGTAAATTTGAGCAATATTTGTAATGAGAGGCAGGTTACTGAATCTCTCCCACCTAATGAGGGTCCTGAGGTAGGGGTGAAGAGTGATGTAGGAAAAACATTAGTGTCCCAAATGCCTGAGCCATTGCCTCCCTTCAGTGGGCCTGGTTCAGTGCCCAGTACAAAATATCAAACCTTTTCAGATAAGCTTCAGTGTCAAGGAAAACCCAAAGAGATTGAACATGAAAGTTTTTACTCAAAGAGTCTTGATATAGAGAAATTTCCACAGGTAACACAATTAAATGAGGTTGAATCTTGCCCAAAATTGGAAATAGCTTTGACAGAATCTAGCAAGCAATCCCTTCCTATTGAATTGGAATTGTGTGTGACCTCTGAAAACATGCTTCCCAATGAGTCTGAAATACATTCCAAAACGGAGAGTAACGCCCCTGTGGGTGAAAAGGCAACCAATGTTAGATTAATGTCTGGTAAGCGGAAATCGTCTCTCTATAGCATAGTGTGCACACCTCCAGCTTCTTCAGGGTTGTGCAAGAATGCATCAGGGAAACCAACAGAAGTTGTTCCTAAACTGATAATTAAAGAAGGAGCATCTTGCAATACTGTTGAACCTCATGCAAAAAGTTTTCCATCTCGGGTTCCAAGAAATTTTCACTGCTCTGAAAATCTTTCATGTGATGACAGAAAATTAAGCAGAGCCAACAATATGACATCCTTGACAAAAAGATTTCATTCTAATGAAAGACTAGATGCTCTGGGGCATGAAAATCAGTTACAGAACGTAGTTGGAAGTAGATGCAACTCCCCTGCAGCTTCACAATTACAAAAGTCAAGGCAATCAACTGCTGTGCAATCACTACTCTTTAAGAATCTAGAGATCGGTGCAGGCAAAAAGGTCAGTGGAGAAAATGATACTCAGCTAAAATTGAATTCCAATAATGACATGGTTGGTGAGAAGATAAATGACTCTCTCAGTGTAGGTAAAGAAAATGTCAAACCCTCATCAAGTGCACTGGTGGCAGGAGGTATGATAAAAAAAGGTGTGGCATTTGCTGGGGAGGAGATCTCCAGGAAGAGGAGGACACCTTTAAAAGATGACACTAAGTTTAGAAAAACCAGACAAGCACACCAGTCTCTTGTGGCCATAAGACCTGAAACAGTTGCAAAGGCACTGTCTATGTTTGGGGACAAGTAGGAGAGAAAAAATGATTCATTAGTGGTAGGACTTGGTGGAATGCTCGAAAGAAGTTCATTTTGTACTGTGTCTTTAAATGTAATTTTTTTTAAAGTTTTGCAACTTGTCAAAGATTGAAGGGGCTCCTTGTAAATTTTCTTTTTTTGTATTTCAAACATTCCTGCCTCCTTCCTGACAAAGTTTGGAATCTTTTAATGCAATTATTGACAGATAAGCCATACATTGAAAGTCAAGTCAATTGTATATCCTTACCCTATATCCGATTCTTAGAAAAAGATCTGTATGTCTTACTTTCAGATATTATTTAATTTTATCTTGAGTGCCATAGGCCGCGTTCAGAACAGATGATCCATGGATCAGTTAATACAGCCTGACCCACTTAAAAGCAACACAGCCTAATCCCCTAATGGTCTCCCCACCTCCTCCTCATGGATTTACTTGTGCACTTTTCCTAGGGAAAGAAGGCAGAATCACATTAATTTCCTGATCAAACAAATTTGTCTTCAGCTATCTTTGTGGAAAAAAAAAACTAGTATTAGTTCTTTCTTACCACATTAAAACAATACTGTATACTTCTAATGACAAATTATATTATAAAAATGTTATTGCCAGATTCATAAGAAGAGATCAGTCATGTTCAACATCCATTTGTCCCATGGATATTACATTTAATTTAAATTTTAATCCTCCCATTAATGTCTTCTTTAATAATTCTAAAATGTAAAATGGTATTCCTTGTGCAATACGGGGTAAATTTTTTTTAAGGAAGACAATATTTTCCTGTTTTTATGGAGAAGTATCATTTTATTCCTACTGAAACTGTATACAGTTTTCAAATATTTTTGTACATTGTGTTGTGAGTTTATTATTATTGCACTCCATGAACGGTATGCCATACAAACTGTCATGCTCAAAATTATATAAATCGTGTCATTTTATGCTTGGGTATCATGCAAAAGATAAAATCGTAAAGAATACATATTCATGTACCAAATACCTATTCTCCGTAATTGAAAATTAATTGCTGTTAGTCATGTAATGTTTTAATTTGTTTTTGAGCTTATTTCATTTACATAAAGTTAATTGCCATGAACAGTTAGTCTTGGTGAGTCTTGTTAATTGATACTTGTCAATTGAATTTTTTTTGTAATTTGCTTCTGTTACTCTTAACAACAAATTTCAGAATTGTTCTGAAGTATTTTCTACAAATTATTGTCTTTAATATTATTTGTCTTTATCATACAAGCACTTTAGTAAATAATAAGTTGTTTTGGGAACAACTTTTTTTGCACATATTAGGTAAGATAATCAATAAGCTGTAGATAAACTGTAATGAAAAGGTGCTTTGTTATTATTATTTTGTAAACCATTTTTCTATACATACGTATATATATTTACCATAATACCTTTAACTGTGTGTGTATGGATTTTTATTAACAATACAACAATAAATATATCATTTACAAAACCTTTACATTTGTTTACAACTGTTAGCAGTATTTTACTTTAAAATATACCAGAAATAACTTTGACATGAAAAAGAAGCCCAGAATTTTCTAGTCTTCAGCAATTTTACTAGTGCATATCAACAGTTGTCTGTTTGACCTGCAAAATACTAGTTCTTTGGTTAAATTGCCTTTTCCATCCTTGTAGTATGTTTTTTTAGCTTGTGGTAATTCCTTTGCATAAATAAATTCGGACATCATAACTGAATAAAACTGAAATAATGGCTGCAGCTCCTGTTTTTTGTAACCATGATTATTTCCTACATTAAACAAATAAATATTGAAATAAAGTAATTATAAGCGTAGACTTTAAAAAATCCATTTACCCTACTCAAAACTATATTTTACACTGAACAGAAACGAACACATTTTGTCAAAAGAACAAGTTTGTCATCAGCAATAGCTTTTGAATCCATTGTACATTTTATTTGATTCATTGTTGTGTGTATCAGTATTTTATTCAGCCCCTCACTGTTCACAAATTGATTTTAAAACTTGAACAACCCATTAAAAAGAAAAAACGTAAAACAAGCAAACTGTAAGCAGGACCCCAACTCCTTTGTACATCTTAATCTTTTGTGGTCTCCTGAACTTTACCTACGTACCCTCAACTCTATAAAACCAATATTGCCTTACTAACCAAACCCACCTTTCCTATTGGTAAATATTCCAAATTTTATATGGTGTAACTAAATGTGCATGGTCACCAACAAATTTGTCCACTCCCATCTTTTATTAAATATACATTTTTTTAATGTTCAACAATTTGATTGAGAAATAATTAGACAAAAGTGCATGTTTAAAATTGCTGCATGCTTGTCAGCTTTTAATAATTCCTGTTCTCCATAGATATAATGAAAAGTCAATTTATATTTATTTTTCTCATCCACTTGGGTCCATATTTGAATTTTTGTAATTGAACCCCCCCCCCCCGTTACATTGGGCTTGTGTCCACTCATTACACATATATTTCCACTCTCACCCCTCTTCATATTTGATATTCAACATCAAATTCATACATCAGTTTTAATGAACAATAAAATTACAGCCTCTTCCTTTGTTGCACATTGATGAGAGTTTACCAAAATTCTTTTTCCAAGTGATTGCAAGTCCAGTGTAAAAGAGTCTTAAGCCATCTATAACGTTCTATGTCATAACCTGTCTCACTATAAAAAGCTTTTTCAGATTCTGTAGTAGGCCATCCAGTGTAAGGGTCAAAGTGTTTTTTTCATTTGATTATCACATTGAAGTTGACCCTTATTGACATCAACGAGAATGTGTTATTGCACTGGAAGTCATGGTCAACTCTGTCACCATGCATGAACAACCAAGAAAGCTTCTTTTCAGGCCATCACATTATCTGATCTCTTTTTCTGTGGGTGGTCTCCTCTGGCTATTTGCCTCCACTGCAGTCACTACCCAGTGAATGCCCTCATCTATTCCCTCACTGAAATACCCATGTGGAAGTAATAATAAGAGACAAAAGAGATTGATAAAAGTTAAATCAGTCCGGAATAAGTTTTAATTACATTGGTAATCAGGCTATTTCCAACTCTGCAACTTATCAACTTTGCTTGAAAATACCATTTCTTCAGACTTGGACCCAGTGTACTATGCCTAGTGTTTCATGAGTCCAAGGTTGAGATGAGTCTCATTACTTTAAGGTGAAAGATGTCATCAACTTCACCAAACCTACCTGACTTAAAATGAGCTGTAGAAAACCAACAGTTTAAAATTGTGATTGTTTTTTTTTTTTCACTTTTGCATGGCATTCACATATTAAACTTAAATCTAAAAAAAGTTTAACTTACCCATTTAATGCACTTGCCCCAAGCAAATGGCAGCTTCTCCGCCCAATCTTGTGGGCACTTGTGTTGAACACCTCTTTCACTTCTGCCACACTCATGCATTCCTGAAAAAGTGGAAAATCAAAAGATCAAATCCCTACACAAAAGACAAATTACATCAAATGTATGTCCCATCACAGCAGCATGCACAACATTTCCTATTAAGTCGCACAGTAAATAAAAAAAATTAAATCAAAAAAGCACAATTAAAAATTTCTTAAATTTTGAAGTCAATTTCTCCTGATTCTTTACCTCTAGATCCTGTTTATTTACAACCACAAGTAATGGAACACTGTCTAGAGCACTACTAGTAATCATTTTGTCTGAAACACAAAAATATATCATGTCATAAAACTGATAGGCTGTTTGGTAAAACTATCTTCATTTTCACCATATAAAACACAATTTTGTTAAATAATTAAAGCATTGATTTTGGGACTTCTGACAAGCTATTAAGACATGAAACTTAAAATGGATAATCAGAAATTGAATTTTGGAGTCTTTGGCAATATTATGGTGCAAAGCTATCATTGCTCTATGGACCTACAAACTTTGAAATTCTGAATATCTTTATCAATGGGACAACCCTTTCATTCAGAAAATCTTAAGACAATTTTTTAATATAAAATTTTCGACTCCATGATGTTATCTTATTGCACAGATTAAAATCATTTTTGTCCTAAATACAAAAAAAAACTAGTTATCTCAAACACTCATTACATCATTTAATAAAAAGAATGAAAGTTCAATAATATTGTTGTACTAAGTATTCACCAAATGTTTGTTTGGACTCCACAATCCTTCCCCTGTCAGCTCCATCCACCATATAGATAACAGCATGGCACTCTGCATAATACTGAAAATTATCAAATCTGTTTAGTATCATTAATTAAATTATTTTAAAATGAGCCATCAACTTATATCATCTTTATGTTAAGTGTTGCTTTCTTAGAGGCCCTTCAACACAAAGGAGAGAGACATACTATAGACAGTAAAACTATGCTTTTTCAAGGAAGCCCAAACAGGCTTCTGATTCAAACCAAATCGAAACTGGCTTGACTTTCAACTCTGTTGGCATTTTTATTGTACGGATATCAAAAATTCAAGAAAAAATGGAATAAAAGTTACCTTATCCCAAAGTGACTGTAATTCTTCCTGCCCTCCTAAATCCCAGAAGTTCAAGCGTACAGATTTAACATCTATCTTTCCAACTAAAATATAGAATTGAAAAGTCTCTTTATCAATCCTTAAAGTGAAACTTAAAAGGCATACGTAGTGGGTTCTCAATTAGAGCATGGACATAATAAGAGAAGGACGAGTAACGCGGAGCAAGATCAAAGGATAATCGGCTTAACGTGAGCTCTTCGCGAAACCATGTGCGTTCGGATCACGCGACCTCCCGTACAGGTAGCGAGCATATCGCAGTTGTCGATGACTTTTTGTGTCATTTGGGCAGGTAGTTCGCGATAACGTGAGTCAATCTTTCGGGTGGATGAGACAATAAAATTATAGAGATGAAGTATAAGTACAATTTGTTCTGTCAATTTGGAAACTATGTGAGAATTTGATATGTTTATTCATGGAGGAATTCAAAATGCCCTATGTGGTAAAGGCAATCTTGTTTGTTGTCGTAAAATGAGCATTCAAAATTGTACAATTGTAGTGTAGTATCCTTGTTTTCAACTATGATCCGATTGGAAAATATTTTTAGTGTCAAACTTTTCTCTCTATGTGAGAAATTAGCCTGAGACGCGGCAATAATGAAACCTTCAATCGTGTCTTGAATTAAAATGACGCAATTCCTCTCCGATTTATTCAACTCGCTGACATCGGTATCCCGCTGACATCAGGTCTGGTATTTTTTACGTCCGAGTTAGATAAAGGTGGCATTTACACTGATGTGTGCTATGTGAATAGGTTTATGTTACTTGCTTAAGTGAGCCCGAATTATGTATTGATAATTAATATTTTTAACATTCAATATGGGCTCTCGTTGCAATAGGGCACCACACACGCATTCGTGACCCACAAAAACGCACCTGTGGGTCTTTTAATATTTTTTATCAAAGTTGACATTAATACTGCTCTGAAGTATATATATATTTACACATTACCGGCTACAGTCTGCTCCACTTTGAGAATGAAAATTAATAGTTTTTCATCTTTAAATTGGAGTCCCTATACAGCATAGAGACGATTGATAAACACCCTCATTGGTCTTTTAATTCAAGTATAAATGTGGACATGTACACATGCAAACTTCGTGAATATATTTACTTGGGTAATGGTCATAAAAGTGGATCTTGATCACAACTCACCTCTGTAATTGGCTTGCTACATTGCATTATCTTGTTATCAGATACGTTTGGATAGCACCTACCTGGCTTTATTAGTCAACATGCTTTTAAACCAGTTATATATCAGTTCGACATATATAAATACAATCTTGGAAACAATAACAAGTATAGACAAAGGCCAGAGCCCGTTTTAATTAGGTAAAAGGAAAAAGAAACTGAAAACCCGAAACAAATTTCCACTTGTTGACGCAAGTCTATGTGCTAGCAATTACAAGATGGATGCAATGCTGTGTCATAGCAACCACGAGGGACCGCGAGAAATTGCGTTATCCATGCAATAGAACAAAAGGATTTCAATGAGGCACAGCGCGCGCTACCTTGATAATAAGTTGTTCAGGCTCCCGTGGAGCTCTCAAAACAGCTTATCTGAGACAATGGGCGAATGTTTACACGAACGCACATAGCTTTAAAGGAAGATGCCGCGTTACTTGTCCTTCTCTTATTATGTCCATGATTAGAGCAAACTTTTCATTTTTTTCTTACAAAGAACAGAAATATACCTGTGGATAATCAATCTGAATCAAATTCTTTGAATTTTTACTGCAATGTTTTCAAAAATGTACAGTTATAACTGTTTTACCAGAGTATCTAGCCAAAATGACCTACATTTTAAAAGCTCCAACTTACTATTAAGACCAACAGTTGTGGTAATCTTATTCAGGTTAACTCCTTTGTAATTTTTGTTGAACACTGTCTGGGTTTTCTCTAAATATGTCTGAAAAGTTTAACACTTTGTGGTTAAATATCTAAAACAATGTGGTTAAATATCTAAAACAATCCATATCCATACTAGTACATACATGTATTTGTAAAAATGTACGCAAGGAAGAAATTGCTGAATTTCACAATAAGATCTAGATCTTAATTTATCAGGTAAATAGCAAATATAAGGTGCAGACATTTTGTGAAGGTGCAGTTTTAACACACACACACACACACACACACACACACACACACACACACACACACACACAAACGTGGGTTAAATCCCAAGTTTCATACTTCATACGTAAACTGAAGTGAGTATGACTGTACATAGATTGGTATATACCAGGCTCATTCCTGAATATAATTTTCTTTAGCCAAACAACAAATCACAATTTTGATCCACATCATATGAAAAGGTAGGGAAATAAATTGATCTGAAAATTTTTAGCCAAATAACAGCATTTTCAGTCTTAAATTAACCATGCTACAATGAGCCCTGATAACTATGCTAAAAGTAGTCATCTGCCTATTATTAATATTATGTAATAATATTAATAATATTAATATTATGTAATAAGAAATCTATCTACTGTTTTCCCCGCATTATCAAGTCCCAGGATCACAACAAAATATTCATCCTTCTGGCACATGTACTTGTAGAGACCTGACAGAAGAGTGAACATCCTAGAAAGATGAAACAAATAATATGAGAATCCACAGTGCATTTAAAGAAAATGGGAAATGTAGATCATACCTGTATACATGTACCGGGCATCTTAGTATCTTAGAAGTTCAAAATAATCAGTCTCTGACATTTCCAGGTTTTTAAAAATCTTGTTTTGCAATGCAGGTTATGTTAGTACTTGTAAATCACAAAATGCATCAATTATATTATTTACCAACACCAAATACAGATGTAATTTAACATGTAACTGCAATGCCGAAAACAGACAAATTCTTATAAATATCATCATCATCATCATCATTATTATTATTATTATCTCTACTTCTAGACTATGGTTACATGTACATGAAATAATAACGTTATTAGCGTTACAAATTTTAAAATCTGGTGCGTATGTTAAATTACCTGCAATCTACGAAATTATGTTTGTATATAGATCCGTTTAATTTGCGACCTTTAATTATTCGTCCATCGTTTGCTGCTGATGGGCAATGTTCCACGTTGACGTTTCACTCTGTACATGCAGTAAAATATTGTGATTTTACTGACAGAAATGGGAAACCATAAGCATTCGATATAACATTATGGACTACAACTATAACGCCACCTGCTGGGGATCCGGGGAGATGAACGTTGGGGTTGTTACTTATATTTGCTGATATTTACTCAGAAATGTTGAGAAAAGAGAGCCCTTCTCATATCACATGAAAATATTCAAATCTGATATTTTAATACTTCTCTCTCTCTCTCTTTACTATTTTAAAAGTATTGTTTAATGTTATATAATGAACTTGTGTCTTTTTGTTCTATGATAACCTGTAAACGCCAGGAGTATTCTGAGCTAGATTTTAGCTCGGTGGGATATCTTTGGCGAGACGGGCCCACACATGATGTGTGCGTTTGACACAAGTGGTAAACAGTTTATTTTCTCGATGTTTACTTTGAGTAACCGTTTTATTAAGTCCATCTTGACGTGGCTAGTATGAGCGAAATTATAAATTTGTTTTTACTAGGTTGGCTGTCTATATATTTGCTGTAGACCTATATTCTGGGATTGTAAAAATTGTAGCCTACTCTCTGCTCATGACGCAGTATATAATATCTATCTATTTATTTGTGACTTTATTGAACAATATTGNAGATGATTGTACTTTCAGTGTAAAGACTGAATAATGAAACTTCTTAATTTCTTCCAAGCGTAAATAGCAGTCACTGATTCTCTATACATTGGTCTATTTGAAGAAAACAGAAAGATGAAAAATGAAGGTCAAGATATATTCGCGAGTTCTACTTTTTTTCTAAAAAGTGATAAATCTAACTTTTTTTGTAAATCATGGAAATTTAAAAAATTCTTGCCTTGCGAGCATGGGAGTTTTCGCATCCAGTTGCATCAAACATAAAAATCATGACATGCGATAAAAGACATCAGGAAGGTTTTATTTTCTATCTTTAAAAACTAGCGACTCCGCAAAAATAGCCGCAAGCTATTTATTGGGTTATTTGAAATAAACATTCTAGACATTTTCCGATATTTAGATATCATAGGCTACTCGCTTTCTGGCAAGTTGCAAGTTTTCTAATTTAGTAAGAAATAAACAACATCGATCGGAGAATGTGAGACGGAGCTTCGAGCGACAGTTACGAAGGTTTAAAATTTAGTTCATTGTGTTTTTTCTTCTTATTTAAAAGGTAGCAGACTTTAAGAAACTTGTTTTTTTCCTCACTACTCAGTGGCGGATTTAGAGGGGGGTCAGGGGGGTCCTGATCCCCCCTTCGATTTTTAGTCCCCTCTTAAAATTAGAATTTTGACTTGCTGGATCATAGTTCTAAACCGTACAAATGGCACCGTTCGCCCTCTAAAATACCGAATAATTTCGGGGCCCGCTTGGGGGGGGGGGGGGGGG